ACATATATATATATGAAACCCGCATGGAATTATCTGTATGAAATCAAGGTGCGCTGTGGAAAAAACAATTCACCCAGTTTAGTGGGTGTGAGGTACGTGGCCAGACACAGTCACCTGATTTTTGTTCATACCAGGGTCATGCGTTGAGCTACTGACAAACTCAGGTGGAGGTGACCATGGCCTTCACCAAAGCTGCCTCCCAGTGGCCACCCAGTCCTCTCCCTGCTGGACTCACCTGAGGAGAGAGGAGCCAGAACAGGGTGGGTCAAGAAATGTGCTTGCAAGGTCCAGGGGCCTCGTGGTCTGGCGGCTGAGAGCTCCTCGGGCTGGCCCAGGTGCTGACCTTGCCACAGGCAGATGAATGTTCTTAAAGCTCCCGGGCAGGGACAAGAGGGTTGTCCTCAGCCTCCCATCTCCTCCCCTTCCCAGGAAGCCTTCTTGATCTCACGACTAGTTAAACTGTTGCTTTGGTTTGTATGCGAACCGAAGGTAACAGAAACATGAAGGCTTTGAGGAGTGTGTGCGCGATGAGTGTGCTTGTGGAGCGGGGAGAGGAGGGGAGGGGTTGGGGAGGGGCTGGAAGGGGAAAGGAAGGAGGGAGAGAAAATCCTTCAAAGACCAGGGTACAGCAGTGGGAGCCATTTTCTCCTTTCCTGTAACTCTCTGTAGCTGAACAGAACTGACTGGCGCCTGGCTCAGGAAGGTCGGCCATCACAGTGGGGGATGGGTCAGGAGAGACAAGGACTGCGGTGTGTCCTGCACCCCAGGTCAGGCCCTTTCAGGGTGGAGCCTGCAGGATTCCCAGGCGCATCCCGATGGGCCCAGGCACAGCTCCCTCCTCGCGGGTGTTCATTGGTCCGTGAGTCCTTTGTAACGACTACACTGATTCTTCAGCTGCAAGCCCTGAATGTCCAGTGGCTAAATTCACCTGACTTTTCGACAGGCCAATCTCTGCCCCTTGAGCACAGTCACAACTCTTCTCCCTCCTCCCGGGCCCCCGTGGGTGATAGTGTATTTAACGTGTTTTTTTAATGGACATGAAAAGATTATTCACGTCTTGCTCAGCCTTTGAGAAAAGTTTCAGATTCTTGTATTTGCTTGTTTTATATAAAACTATATGATGTTCTTTGTATGTTTTTTTTTCTGTACGTAATGGGGGGAGGGAAGGGAAATTTACATATAAACAGTCCTAGTTCTACAATTTGTTATTTTTTTAATTATTATTTTTTATCATCATTGTGAAGCTGTCCAGGGACTTTAAAGCCCATGTTCCTTTGTGGTTAAATAACCTCCTAATAGTTTGAGAAATTGCCAAGAAGAAGAAGAAGAGCAAAACCCAAGTAGCAGAGCATGGATTCTGTGTTGTTTTCCATTCTGTCTATTACTGCCTCATTCAATAAATAGTTTAAAATGTGGCGACAGGAAGTGGACCTGTTTATCTCTATAGGAGCGCTCGGCCGCTAGGGCCTCTCTCGCGGTGGCTCGTTCTGCTTTGTTAAAGGTGCTTGTCTTCAAGCTCAGTGGTCTTTGAACTGCGCTGCCGGGTATTGCGGAGCTCTGTGGGGCGGGTGCCAGGACAGGGTCGGTCAAGGTCTCCTGCCCGTCCTCTGTCAGCAGAGCAGCTTTATGAAACGTTGACCTGGGAGGGAGGGATACCTTTGAAGAATCCTAAAGATGGTTTGAAAACCTCTACTCTAGATCTTTTCCTGGGGGTTCATTGCACCCCACATTAAAAGAGTAGGTGATGGTGCCTGTGCCCCTGGTCTCTTTCCACGTGAGTGTTCAGTATTGCAGTGGATTATCCTTGAAGCAGAGGCCCCAAGCCATTGTTTCCTTAAGTCCTCACTCCTTGGGTTCCTCCCAGCTCACTGCTTTAATGTGGTAACTGCCATCTTTCCAGCTGTACGTCCTGCCACATCCCCGGCGTCAAGCCCTTCCCAAACCCCACAGTGGCCCTGCACTTCCATGTTTGTGCCCACTCTGTGCCTCAGCCTGGACTGATCCCTCTTTCCCACCTCCACCACCCCTCTCTTTCTTTTCGTTGTTGGATGTTTGGGTCGGTTTCTAGGTGGTGGTGATTAGAAGAGTTGAATAGTGAAAGCCAGAGTCGTTTTCCTTGATGACAGTGGCTCAGTAAAGCCAGTGCCACCTCTCTCCCTTCTTGCACAGATGGCACACCATCGCCTGTTTTCACCAGGAGGATGGACCAGAGAAAGAGGATTGATTACAGCCAAATCAACCAAACACCACTGCCACTGGCCACCCGTGAAACAGCTGGGTTATCTAGGGTACCTCCTCATGGGGACGGTATTTCTCCAGAGGTGCCTTATACACGGTACATTCTGTTGGCCTGGCAAGACCCAGATGCCTTTTCAACAAACATGTATTGAAAACTTTCTTTGGTGGGGGCTGATGGAGACCTTTGCTTCCATTACTGCTCAAGTCACCAACAGGAGCTTCTAACTCCAGCCGCCTACATTGACCGGATAGGTAAAATCAGTGAGTGAAGTGGAAGTAATCGAGGCATGAGAGAAAAGGGGACGATGGAGATGAGCAGAGTGGAGAGCATCTGTCTAAAGAGAACAGCCTCTCTTGAGTGCTAGCAGACCGTCACCCAAGCATAAGGAATGTGGGCCCTGGAGCCCCATCTTCAATATTTTCCAGAGAAGCCAAGGAGTCCAGATTTGTGTATGAATCTCTTGATTCCAAAAATAAATAAAAATTGACATATTTTGCAGGCAAAATAAAACCCACCTGTAGATGTGGCCCGTGGGTCAGTTTTGTTTAACTTCATGAATGCCTGCCACGTGCCAGGTGAATAAAGCATGGCGGTTGCCCATGAGAAGCGAGAGGAGAGATTCATATGAACAGATCGCTACAGCCCAGGGTGTTGAGGTGCCATCTGGACCAAGTGATGTAGCAAAACGAGTTATATCATCTCATTTCATCTCCTTAAGGGTCCTGTGTGTTAGGCAGTTTATCAGCCAGGCTGCGGACAAGGATCTGGTGTCCACAGAAACCAAGAGACTGGGCTAGGAATGCTCGGCTTTAAGTCCTGCATCTGAGAAGATCTATCTGTTGGCGATGTTGGTAACTACTGGAATTTTCCAAACTCAGTAAGTGAGCCGAGAAGCAGCAGCAGGGCAGAGGAGAGGAGGGACTGCTTGCCCTGTAAGAAGAGCTCAGGCTGCCAGTGCACCCTGGGCCTCAGACCCAAGCGAGGCTGACTTCCCACTGTTTCTCACCTGGAAGAGGTTCCTCCTGCATCTCCCTCCCTATCTGCAGCCATTCCTCTGCCCTCCTCAGTGATGCTCCTGAAGACTGGCAGAGGTGTACCAGGCCCATGGTGGGTCCCTTTGGTGTCAGCACCAAAACCCATCAGGAAGGATACTGAAACTTGCTGTTTGGAGCAAAGGCTACAGGGGGTGAGGGAGAAGAGCCCCCATTTCTCCTCACCTCCATCTCAATGGGCTGTGGGCCACCCAGGTCATCAGCTCCAGCCAGGCTGTGGCCTCAGCACAGCTGATGCTCAGATGCCAGTGTCAAAGGCACCTGTCACGCACTCCCACCTGGCCTCTGCTGTTTGTTCCAGATTGGCAGCTCTTGGTGGAGATCCACTTAAGATGGCGGAGACAGCACAGACGAGGAAGGTGTACAGAGCGGGAGGTCCGGCTTACGGGCTGGACTCTGGCTGAAAGAGCTGGAGAGCGTAGGTTTCTCCGCCTGTCATTCCCCTCCCAATGCTGCTGGGCCCGAGTGAATCTGAGTTTCTCCCGCCTGAAAACTGCTGGGCTATGAGCAAACATTTGTCAAGTACTGGTGTCTTCTTGGAGTGCATTTCTGCTGAGTTGGAAGGAAGCAGGGTAGGAGCAAGGGAAATATTCAACAGAGGGAGAACTAGGGTCCCCTGAGAAACTGGGACTTCCCCAGAGTCACCTTGGAAGGCAAGGACAGGCCTGCACACTGCTGCCCCACCCCACTCCTACTCCCCACCCCCCACCCCCGGTCCTGTCCAGAGGCTTTCCTAGCTTATGTGATATTTGGGAGAAAATGCTAGAAACTGTCACTCCAGATTTAAAAATAGTTGGTGCAACTTAACTGGGTCTCAATTCAAATTTCTTCTGAATTTATCTTCCCTTTGGGAAACTGTAGTTATAACTACCAATTACTAAATGGCTGCTCTATGCAGGACACTCTGCAAAATGCTTTTACTCCTTTATTTCTAATCCTCTCCGCAACCCTGTACAGAGATTAGATTCCATTTTATAGGTGTGGGAACTGAGACTCGGCAACTTCCCAAGGTAAATCTGTAACTCGTAAATGGAGGGCTGGGGTCAAACTCTGATATGTCTCTAGAAGCTCTGTTCTCTGTGCCAACCACTCAGTGGGCAGGCAACAGAAAACAAGCTGCACGTCCGGATTCTCATTTTTAAAGTAACATCCAGGTGAGTCCTGAGCTCAGCCTATGTGCAGCCTCTCTCAGTGGTCAGTGTTTTCTGAGCCGGTCATAAGGGTTGTGCCACCCATGGTCCTTGCCCAGGGCTTGCCACACCTGGAACAGCCTCCCAGTGGCTGGGCCTTTTCATCACACACGTGGACACACACACAGACCCACACAGGAACTGGCATAGAGCAGGCACTCAATATATCTCATCGGATGAGTGACCTTTCCCAGTGGTTCCTCAATCAGAAAATTCAAGAAACCTAAAACATCCACTCCCACACATTCTCATTACTCAAAAATTTTCTGCAAAACTACCCCCCCCCCGCCCATGTTAACATTGTTAAATAATTTGATGTGAAAATAATGCTGATGTAACTCCTAAGAGGAATCTGGCCCTGTGAGAGCATAGCAAGCAAGGGGGAGGGGGAGTGAAGATGCTGGTGCCTGAACACGGGTCGGGCATTTTTAGCAGTTGCACACAGTCTGCTGCGGTCTTTAAAAGCCCCAGGGCTCAAACATGAGAACCAGATCAGTTCATGTTAAAGCCCAAGAAGCTCTGGGCAAGGAGGCCACGCGAAATCTTGGCTATGTAGGTGGATTATGAAACCCTCAGTCGGGCCTAAGTCCCAGACTCCCTAGTGCCCTTGCGTGGAAGAGAACTTTAAAGCTGGTTATAAGACATTAGCCACCACCCTTCATTTAGGCTGTGAAGGCTAAAGCCCAGAGGCGTGGAGAGGCCCTGGGCCACATGGCTGGTGACATTGCACCCAGACTTCTGACTCTTGGTGGGGCTCATCCCCACCACTACACTCTGCTCCCTGATCTCTTCCTGCCCTGTCTTTACCATCCAGTCTCAAAACCTGAAAATTTTCATTTACACTCTGTGTATGTCCCTTTCCAGAACCATTTTTATAGAGCAATATTTAAGCCAAAGAAATTAATCTGTAATTCTGAAATTTACCAGAATCTACCAAAATTGTTGCAGGAAACAGCCACAAAGTCATACTTTTTTTTTTTTCCCTCAAAATATTTTCTAAATTGACAAAAGTTAAGGGAGACTAATCACATAATAGGATTCTTTACACCGGCCCTCAGGGTTCTCCTTGTATTAAACAGCTGTTAAACTCTGGATAATGAAGAATCTGAAGCAACCGTATCACCAACTAAGTGTGGTGGCCCAGGTGATATCCTTTACTTCTCCCAACGAAGTAGCTGAGTGGAGTGTCATTCTGTTCCACGGATGAGGAGTCGCACCACGCTGGGTTGGTCCAGGCTGGGCTACGGGCGGGCTGTGAGTCCTGGCCTCTGGCCTTCGGTCCACGCCAGTCCCAATACCTCCCACAAGGCCCAGCTTGCGCGGGCCTCTGGGACTGCTCCGCCCGCCTGCCCAGGCAGCACGAGATGATGCAGGAACGCGCCTGGTGCCACCAAGCATAAAAACGTTTCCAGTGTTAACAGCAGAAACTCAGAGGTGCCTAAGCAAAGACAAGCTGCAGAAGGGGCTGGGACTCAGCACACTCCCGAGCTTCAGGGAAGACTGCTGCTGATTGGTCAACTGAAGTCACGGGTCTACCTCCGGGTCAGCCAATCAGCGATGGCCAGGGAGACCCAACCCCGGGTGCAAAGCCTACCCCACAGTAGAAAAGGGACCTGGGGTATGGGTCCACCAAGGGGTGGTCATCATTTTCCTCCACTGCCCTGCAGTGCCTCTACCAAAGATCCTCCTAGAATGTCTTGAGTCACTAATTAGGGAGTCATTGAGGTAACAACAGTGTACCCCCATTCTCACCATCTCCAATAGCCTCAAGATTTTTTGAAAAGCTTTATTGACAAATGATTTCCACACCATTACATACCAGAGCTCGATGGTCTTTAGTGTTCACAGAGTTGTACAAACATCACCATAATCTAATTTTAGAACATTTTCCTCATCCCCCAAAGGAAAGGGGTTGCTTTAACACTTTTCCCTCAAAAATAATTTGACGCGGGTTACATAAAAGATGGATGCAATGAAATAAAAATAAGAATGAGGAATCAAGACCAAATACAAGGCTGCCACACGTTTGCCAACTGCGGGTGATGTGATGAAGATTCTCATTTCGTTCTGCTCTTGGGGAAGTGGTTCCTGTCACTGGAAGAAAGGAAAGAGCCATCAGTCACTCAAAAGAAAGCACTAAATACGTGCATGAAAAGTTTCAGGGAACTCCGAGTTATTTTCCATTCAGCATCTTTATGGCCAAAGCAATAGCTTCACTTAGTTCCTTAGCCTCTTAATACCTTGAGCATTACTTTAAAACAGCTCTGTTTTGAAGGTGTTCTGAAAGGGGCTAAACTAATGTGACATCTAAGTTTATTTACAGATCACGCAAGGGTGGAGGAGACAAGTATGAGGGGCTACTGTCAATCGGTGAGTCATCCGACATGCTGTAAGCAGCGGCCGGCATGGGGCTTTTCCCCTTCGGCCCGCATGGGGCTTTTCCCCTGTCCTGGAACTGGCTATCAGCACACATGACTAAAGACAGAGTCCTCCCTCGCATTCTAACCCCCACCTTCTCTAGAGAATCGCCAGTTGTAGGAGGCACTCTCCTCTGCCAGGGCTTTCTAAGAGGCAAAACCGGACCAGCTGCCTGCCCCAGCCACCACCCCATCGGGTCCCTTCCGAAACCAGAAGACCTGCAGGGAACTGGGAGAGGAGCCATTAAGGCCACTGGTCTTGAGAAAAAGTGCTTAGCTATTATGACTTCTGCCTCCCCTTCCCCATCCTGCCTACCCACCCGCTTCCATCCCCCAGACCCAGAGGCTGAAGACCAAAAAGAGGAGCTATCCACAAGGCCGACCAGCCCCGCACCTCACACACTGTGGTCCTGCCTTCCCTCGGAGCGAGGAATAGGGTAGAGTTAAACTCGAGTTTGAGATTGAAGCTTCAAAGTGGTCTGGACTTTCATGACGGACCATGTTTACGAAGTTATGAAATTCACTCAGAAGGTCATTAAGGAACTAGAAGAGTCAGCAGAACACAGTCAAGGCAGTGACGGCAGAAAATAAAAGCACTCCATGTTCGAACCCACCAAGGCAAGATGCCTTGGTTTAGTAAAGGGAAGACATTTGAGACCGGAGGGTTGTCAGTGGCAACAAAGGGTTCCGTTTACCCACAAGGGGCACCTCCGTCTGCACCTTACCTCCCCCCATAACATCCACGGGAAGTTATCCTTGCTCTTCTCATCTCAAAGGCTTCCAGCCCCCACGCTGCCTTCCCAGGAGACTCGAGAAGACAGAAAGCTGGTTTCAGAAGATAAGAATCTCCAGGGAAGATGACATTGGGGGCTGGGGGGGCACACAGAGATCCTCCAGAAGTGTCTCTGTTGATGGGGCTGTGTGGGGGCCCTGGCAGGGAAGAGGGGGCCTTCACTGCCACCTCCATCGCCATCCCCAAGGCCTGCTGCCTCCTTTTCTGGCTGACCTCACCCTGAGAAACCCCAGTGCAGCCAGTTCAAGGAGTGGCCTCCATTCCTGGGAGGTTCAGGTCGGGCTTCAGCCAACATGATGGCAGAGCTTTATATGTTATATGGGCCTGGTCCTCCAACCAAACCTCACAGCCCACCAGCCAGCCCTACAACTAGAGTGACTGGCTTTCCCATGTCTGCTGTTTGAGGAAAGACACATCCACTATGAATGCAAAACTCTTCCATTAATTTGTAGTTTGCTCATCATAATAGCACTTACACGCATTTAAAAACCTGTGTAAGTATGAGCTGAATGCTGCCGAGATCACAGCTGGGGAGTTTAGAGAGTTGCTAGCAACCCCTACTTGAGTGAGGAACCAGCCTAAGCATAAACTGACATTTGACACAGTGACAAGACATCTGGTCCAGACCCAGGTAAGGCTGCCACCTCACCACAGCACCTCACACCTTTGCTAGGATGTCTCCAGAGATGGAGGACTTACCCGTCGTCAGTAATGGCTGATCTACCAGTTAAGAAGTTCTGTGGGATAGAATCTGCCTCTCTGTTAAATCTGCCCACTGCTTCTGTAGTCACAGAGAACTATAAAGGTCTCCATTCCTCCAAATACTTGAAAATAGACTTCATGTTCCCACTCAGATCTGTTCATAGCTAACGTCTCCAATTCCAACTTTTCCGGTGAGCTGTTTCCAATTATAAAGTGGATTAGATTTCCCGAATGACCCTCCTCGTGAAAACCCAAAAAGCTGAATTTAAAAAAAAAAAAAAGGTTTTAAAATATCACTTTAAATATATCACCGGGCTAGCAATAAAGTAATCTGCAGAAGGCCACCTGAGGACCTGGACTGTCACTGGTCTGGTCCGGCAGACCCTCCGAAAATGGTCCTGGATTCTGACCAGGGCACAGATACGGCCTGCTCACCTGTGACCTGATGCTGTCCCTCTTTCGATGCCGTCCCAGGAGAATATTTTGTCAACCAAAGTCACCAGATCTTTATTCCACCTTCGTTTCCGAACAGGCCAGTCTCCTCCATTTTTGCCCTTGCACAGCTGATTTTTTGTTTAACCTAAACATAGGGTTTTACACTTTTTCTTCTCAGATGTCAACCTGCTGTTTCTAACCTATCATTCTATACTTTGGCTTCTCAACCTCGGCTCTATTGACATTTGAGGTGATCATTCTTCCTTGTGGGGACCGCCCTGTGCATTGTAGGGTGATGAGCAGCATCCCTGGCCTCCACGCACTAGACGCCAAGAGCAACCCCGCCTCCAGCTGTGACTATAAAGTGTTTGCAGATATTGCCAAATATCCCCCGGAGGGGCAGAACTCACCCCCATTGAGCTCGCTGTTCTGTCCAGTCCTGGTTGTGTCAACCATATGCTCTGCCTGTTTCCTGGTGGGGAATGACCATGGAAGGCACGGAGTCACACCTCGGCACTGACATCCTTCAGACTGCAGGGTGCATCCAAGGCTTCTCGACCTTACCTGCCACTACTCCCTTCTCGCCGTCTCTCAGCTCCAGCTTATTCCTTCCAGGGTCCACTGAACCACGCTTGGTCCTCTGGCTTGAGCTGGCCGCTTCCTGCTTCTCTCCCTTGGATCCCCTCCTCTAAGGCTACAAAGTCTACCTTCACTCAGAGCCTGTGGGACCACCCTTGCCAGGGGGGCTGTTCCTTCAGAGGCCAGTCCTTCCATGCCCAGCACCTCTTACCCACTGTACTGCTTGAATCTGCCCACACTGCCCCACAGGGTTGTTGCTATGCCTGTCCTATCTCCCCAGTGAGCTCTGTGTGCCAGCACAGGCCCTGTCTACACAGGCTGGTGTGTTCCAGAAGCAAGCCCAGGCCTTTGCCATTCACATCCAAAAGGAGTTATCAGTCAACTCATTGCAGCTGCATTAAGGTTGGTCTTTAGGAGGAGCCTGTCACAGGTGGTTTCGATGGCACTTTGCCTGAGGACACTATGTGCTGCCTGACTTGGAAGAGGTGGGGCCCCTGCCACCTCAGCCCTCAGGCTAAAGCCATCTGCTGGGCCCTGACCCCATGCTGCTTTTGACCTCAGGGGAAGCCTGTGGCCTATCTACATCACGGAGTCTCTTCTATTCATGGGGAACTGGGGCTCTGTGGGTAACTAGGATCCTGGAGGCGCCCAGGGTTGCAGAGTGTGAGAAGCCGGAACTCAATAACCTGTCAAATTCTAGGGCCTCCCTGTCACATGCTACACACATACCTTGTGGGCCTTTGGCATGCAAGTATGAGTGAGACATGGCCCAGCCTCCAGACTGAGGTCATTTGCCGCCAGGAAACAGGTTTCAGCTGATGGAGAAGCGGACCCACTGGCAGATGCTTGCAGTGAGGCGGCCAGGATCGAGGGAGAGGTGTGCCCTAGGCATCTGAGACGCTGCCAGACTGCAGATTCAAAGGCCAAGTAGGAGAGCCCCGGCAAAGGCCAGGGGCCAGGACACCCAAATATCCTAGCAGAGCGTGAAGGGGGCGCCTGCATTGCAGGCCAGGGCACATAGTGCCTCAAAAAACAGGTAAACGCTTGGATTTATTGGGGGTGGGGGTGCCATGGTCAGGTTAGTGCAGAGGATGGTCAGTGGAGCAGAAACAGGGAGCTGGGCTGGGAGGCGACAGTGGTGAGGGTGCCCAGGCCTGCCCCGTCCCTGCCCCGCCCCTCATCCCCGCCAGCCCTGGTTCTGCTTCTGCTACCTGCACATCGCTCCCTGGAAAAGCAAGAGACTCTGCAGTGGTTAAAGAGGCCACGTGGAGAAGGCGGGTACCTACCGGCCACAGCTCCCAGCCAGCTCCCTCCCACCGGCGGAGAAGCGGTTCACAGCTCCGAGGCGGACGGCCGGGGCTCAGCTGCCCTGCTTCTCACCGTTTCCTGTTCTGATCCCGCTTGGCCCGTGGTTGAGGATTGATTGAAATCATGAAAATTCAGCACATACTAAGTGCTAAAAGATCGGTAGCTGTTATGACTGCCCGAAGCCCCTCCCCCCTCAATTTTTTCTGTTACTCCCTGCCAAGGGTCCAGAATAATCTCATTTCTGTCTGCTCCCTCCCTTGGCCAGTCTGGAACGAGAGAGAAGGCAAGTGGGAGGGGGCCGCGGAAGGAGGTGGGCGCCTGGCCGGCTCTGCTCACCGGCACTGGCTGCGACTGTAAATTCATTCTAATTGCATCATCCGCCTGACCGGTTACCGCTTAGCAGGCACACGGGGCGCTGCGACCGGACCGTGCAGGCTGCGAAGCGCCCCTGGGTCGCGCCCACTGGTGCGTATCACCACAGCGCATCCTCCCCGCCTGCTTGCCCAGAGGCTTAAGAACTGGCCCTTTAGGGAGGGGATGGAGCCCTCACTCACCTTCTAGGAGTCTGTTTCTAGGTAATTTCTCTCTCTCTAATCCAGCCCCACAGCCTGTCCAGGCCGTCATCATGTTCCCCTCCATGAAACCCCGACTCCCACGTTCGCAGGACCGCGTGCCCTCTACTTTCCACGGCTCCCACTGCCCTCGGGTTCCAGAACAAATATGGCCTGCGACAATGGCCTGCCTTCCAGCCTGCACGGTCCCTAAGAAAACCGGTGCTTCCTCCAACAGTCTCCTTTCCTTTTCCCTCCCCCCTCCAAGTCTCAAGTCTCACTCATCCTCCAGGGCTCCCCTCCCAGGCC